GTCCTGTCCATCATTTGGTATTTCTAATGGCCCAATATCTCATAATCATAAAGGCCCAAACTATGGCCCATCTATGGCCCAATTTTCCAAATTGGACCCAACCCCTTACATGGGTCTTACCCTAAAGCCCATTTAACTATTTTAGCCCATTAGATTGTTCTTGGACGGCCCATCATTATCCTAATCATCAAAGCCCAATAGAAAGGCCCAACTAAGGCCCAAGTGAAATTAAGGTTTCACATAAAATGATGAGTAGGGTTAAGTTTCCTTCTTAACCCATTAAGGACTTAATCCATTAAGTCTAATATCGCTTAGAATAATTTTTGCCAATGATTATTATTTAATATTTCTAGTTATCAAATAATTCTCGTGTGTCCCGATTAATTCCCCAAATTAAGGTTTTATGGCTTTAGGGTTTTCCAAACCCTAATTAGGGTTTCCTACCCATATTCCCAATAGCTAGGTCCTTAAGCAAAATAGGGCTTTCCTTAGGTCAATTAGGGTCCTATAGACCCATTAGGGTTTCATGCACCCCAAACGAATCAAACTCAACGAGGCAAGCACACTGCCACCCAACACGACGGCAGGTGGCGGTAGCCACCACCCTAAGGTGGTGGTTTTTAATTTCTTTCCGTTATTCCATTTTTTACACTTTACAATGAAAATACCAAAATAAACACACACACACACACACTACACTAAAATAAACACACAGACAACCACCCTTGCGGTGGCCAACAGTAGCACCTAGCGGCAGTCACCACCTCACAGTGGTGGCGATGGCTATTCTCGACTTTCCGGCTAGACAAAACACACACAACCACCAAACAAAATACAAACACATCCATCCATACTTGCTTCTGATCTGCAAGATGTACACTAGCCACTCACCTGGTGGCTCATGACGACGGTAGAAGGAGGTTGGATACCGGGCAGGAGGTGCTTTGCGATGACAGCCACCACCTCATGGTGGTGGCAGTTGTTTCTTTTGATCATCATCCCCAACACATGATAGCACAAATACGGATATCATGCAGTGAATGAAGGTTATGATTGTTGGCAACAGCTGCGCTCCCAGTCGGTGTCGACGATGGCAGCAACGACTTAAAGGAGACGGAACAGCAACGCTACAATGGTGCTCATAGCGGCTGAAACAACGACACGTGACACACTAGCCCCTTCGGAATGACGACCGATGTCCGAAGTAGAAGAAACGTGCCCTACGGTGGCGGCAGTAGCAATGTAACAGTGGACGTTAAGCGGACGGCGACGTCTTCTTCTTCTTCACAGGGGCGACGCAGCGACGGAACCGGTAGCTTTCAGGCCCGACAACGCAAACTGTGTTTGATAACGTCGATTGGGAAACAACCTACTCACTGGACTCGTTGATCGGAACGACGAAAAAGGGTGGCGGCTGGAGAGCTTCCGACGATGGCGGTTACAACTATGGGTTAGGTTAGGGTTAGACAGGTGCTGATGTCTATATATCCCCGTCCCATAAACTTTTCTCCATAATAACATCTTTGGTCCCTCTTTTCTCCTTTTCTTTCCAAATTAATACAAAATTTACCTTTTTAACCCCTGATTGCACCAATCTTTACAATATAAATCCAGAATTTATATTTTACCCCTTGCTTCCATAATTCCTTCCATATTGAGTCCTAATTATTACCATGCAGCCCCTGTCTTCAATATTACTTACAAAACTAATCTGTAACTTACACTTTTTACTGGTGACTACTAAAATTATATCATTTGGTTTCCGAAAACAAACTCCACACTAAAATTATGGATTTTAGGGCTACTAATCATTTATTTATTTATTTATTTATTAAATAAACAGGGTGTTACACCAACCCTGGTGCCCTCTCTATAGATAATTTGTTCTCCACCACCTGGAGTTCAAAATACCAGTTGCTGGCCCTCGTACTTGATTATGGCACCAAACCTGATCAACCAGTCTATACCTACTATCATACATATATCCTCCATGGGAATAAGTATCAGATTAATCAGATAAGGTACCCCGAAGATCTCCAATACACAACCCTAATACACTCTAGATGCAGAAACCTCATGTTCACTGGCGATAGAAACCCGCAATAGACACTCTAACTCCCCATTAGGCATATCAAACTCCCTACTGAATGATCGAGACACAAAGTTCTCTTTAATCTTATTGAATCAAGTTGTATTTTTCTTCTCTTTAAGGTGTTAATTGTTCTTTGCTAAGTGTTTGGTAATTGTGTAAGTTTCCTGTCTTGGAAAACTAGAGAAAACCCCTTTTATTAATTATTTTATTTAGATAATATTAGTAATATTTTAAATGTTTACTGTTCCCTGAGTTCGATACCTTACTTGCCTACATTAAACTTCTAATCGATAGGTACGCTGTCTTCCATGTGTTTGTTTCTGCGTTAAATTAGTTAGGATTAAAACTAGTACATTCCACACATATCAAGTTTTTGGCATCGTTTCCAGGGAATGGTTTTAAATAATTAATTTTATTTGCGAGTGTTATCGATCCTTTGTGTGAGATTTATCTCGCATAAAGTTACTAGTTTTTCTGTTTTAATTTTCGTTATTAATTTTTTTTTGTTTTTGCATAAAACTCGTCGAGTGCATATCTGAACTTGACGAGTTGTGTCACATTTCCAGTTTCATTTTTACTTCGTTTTTGTTTGTTTTACGCGTAAGTTTTGTTTTGTTTCAGGAATTTTATGAACATAATCTCTATTTCTACATTAGTACCAACTGTGGAAGATCCGAAATCGATTATTCGCAAAAAGAAGGACAAACAAATCGGAGAATCAAGTAGTAAATAGAAAATTCAAGACGATAAGGTGTTAGATTTTAAACTCAAAACACCTGAATTTGAAGAGGAAAGTGAACCCGATCCAGAAGAAGAAATGGCAGACATTGCAGGCATACCCATGGTCAAATACAAAAGGAGGTTGCTTGATGATACTGGATTTAGACTCGTGTAACCCACAATTCCTACACCAACCAATTTCAAATAGATCATTAATTCGCAGAAGTGGATACCTGTTCGTGATGGTAAGTTTATTCAATTCCTTATAGTCGATGCACATTCTGAAGGATCCATCTTTCTTCTAGACAAACAAGACCGGAGCTCCTCATGGTGAGAAACTCGGCCTAATGAATCGTTTATCCAGATGTTTACTTAGCTACCTCGATAATTCTGGCATTTCGGCGGGGCTAACATGTAGGGTGATTTGACAATTGATATTGCTCCAGGTTCAAGATCAATTCGGAATTTAACTTGTCTCTAGGAAGGTATTCCTGGGGGATCTTTAGGTAATACACCAGGGAAGGCTCGTACTTCTGGGATATCACTGATGTTTTTCTCTTCTTTTTTCTTATCCACCATGTGAGCGAGAAATATATAATTCCTTTTTGTGCAGGGAACTTTTGTGCCTTAATGCATGAGATAAGATGAGGATTTGCGTTAGGCTTGTCGTCGTAGATGATTAGGGTTTCTTGGTTAGGAAGGTGAAGGCGAACGGCCTTCTCGTGAGACATAATGTCGACATTATGGGACTTAACCAATCCATGCCTATAATCACATCAAATCTCCTAATATCTACTGGCATCAAATTGATTCGTGGTGAATGATTATTTAACGTGAGAGTACAACCTACGTATATATACCTTTTGTGGTTTCAGTTGTTCCATCATTATCGTGGGGGTAGGCAGGAGTGTAGTGTCTTTTGCCTAAATGTTAGCGTGCCTAGTTGGTAGAGAGTGTTCAAGGATTTGTTGTTATAGTTGAAAGAGTTTTTATTTAGTTGAGATAACAATTTGGTGATTCTGAATTGACATGGTGAAAGTTTGATGCTTAACTATTGTTGTTCGAGAACGTACCAGGAATTTAGGTAGGATTCCTTTTTTTTCATGTCCAATTGTTAAATTCCTCCTGCTTCCCCGTAATTACTCTTTCTTGGACAATTCCTGCTAAAACGTCCCATCTCACCACACTTGTGGCATACTGGCGTCATTCGAGTTACAAAGGTTGGAATGGTGTGCTAGGCCGGAGTCTTGCAGGAATGAGAGGTGTGTCCTTTCTTGTTGCATCTATTGCAATACATCTTTCGGCAGGCTCCCTTATGATGGACACTCACTTGTTTCATTTTGGAAGGCTTCAAGCATATGGTCTTGTTGGTGTTGGTGTAATAGGTGTTATGGCTGCATGGACAACAACAACATGTTGTTTCTTTGAGGATCCTTGAGTTGGCTGTCCCTTTCTCTTACTCCCATACGCTCTCTTCCTGCTCTTAAGTTTCGTGTTTAGAGTGCCTTGATAAGTTGTCACTCGTTGGTTTCTGTGGTTGTTACTTCGATCGGAGTTGTCGACACTATTGCCACCTTTGTTGGTGTTGTTTGCGTTGAGTTGTGCTATAGCAGCGGTTACGTTAGCTGTTACAGCACCGTGGAATGTAGCAGAGTTCATCTGCAGGATTGGTGTCTCACAGGTATGCTTGTTATTTATGTGGGATGACATTTTATGTTGCATGATGACAAGCAAGATCGTAAGCAACGATGGTCATTTCTGTTTGTACTCTATAAATTTCACGTCTTGTTGTATGATTCACAAGGTTTCAACCTACATCCCTATGATGTATTTATGGTGGTAAGTAATCGTAGATCTTGCATGAATATTAAGTTTATCCATAGAGTACATAGATTATTTTGGTTTCGAGATCCTTGAGTATCTAGCGGTTTCGGGGGTTCGATAGTGCATATAAGTGAATTCATGCAATACCATGAAATAAGGAAAACACATAATTGTTTCATTAGTAAATACCATCTGAGTACACGAAAGAGAATCATAATGAATAGTAGTGGGGGTGTACCTAATCCTAATCATGGGTGGATGCATCTGGTGGTGGTGCTCAGATGCCAAAATATTGTGCCACAAGGTCATCCAATTCACTCATCTCTCAAGTGATCTCTTTATTCATCTGCTTTGATTGAAATGCTCAAGCTTTTGCTGTTAAAAGTTGTTGTCTGAGGGTGTCAACCTCCTCCTCTAAGGAGCACATCCAATTGGTGGAATCCTCCGGTGCTGCGGGATGGTCTTGTATCATCTCTAAAGAACGAGGCTTGCTAGGGACTTCCTCAATGTCCCCTAGTTTTTCCATCTGCTCATTAGATTTCCCGTACTCATAGTCTATCTCCAGATATTCCTCAGGTTCTAAACCTGGATATGCGCTTGGAACCATACCAGGTTCTCCTTCGATCAACCCATTGGCCACCAGGGCCTGATAGTAAAGGACACCCTTTTGTAACTCTTCCATGATGACTGTGTGAGAAACGGAGGGGTGAGAAGTGTGTAAGGAGAGTGTATATAGATAGAATTCCAAATACTCCTATAGTTTGTAGATTCATCGCCGACCATGACCACTCCCAAACATATGTTGGTCGTATTTTGAACAAATATAGTTGATCAGGCTCTATTTATCCCCAATACGACTACTTAACTATCCGGGTTTAACCACGATGTTCAATTTCCTCCAGAGACCTTTAGTGTTATTGTATTAATTCACACCTAGGTATGCATTTTAAATTATTTCGTTTAGAGTAGTTTAGTCCCATTGTATTTATAGTTACATCTCTTATATGATTAGATACTCGAGTTCACTATAAACAATGCTCTGATACCAATCTGTCAGACCCCCAAACCAGACGGCGGAAACGTCCAGGGGATGGGGTGACTTCATTCTGGTAATATCATCTCAATGTATATAATTGAAACAAAACATCATCATCAGCACACATGCAATATTACAACTATTGTTGTTTACATCAAGTGTTGTATTACAATATTACATGCCAAAATATCCAAAGTATGATGATAACAAAACACAACAAAATATCCAGGTATTCTTGCTGACCAACCTGCTCAACGATTTCCTAAGAATATAAGTTAATTTAAAAAGGTCAACATATATAATGTCGGTGAGATCATAAGCAAGTTTGATTAAGATGTTTTATTCTACTTTGTAAACACCATAAAATTCGATATTTTCTGAAAAACAGTTTGAAATGTTTGTGTCTGGTCTTGTATTAATGCATGTGTGTTAATGTTTGTGAGTGAATGAAGTGAATGATCCCAGACAGCCCAATGTTGTCTGTTTATAAAATGTTGTGATCTCAACACCCTAAGATTGAGTACTAGTGCATGTATGTTACCGTGTAATCAATAAAAGTTGTATTCCATAAATTTTATAACAAAGTTAATTCATCTACGTTAGTTGCTATAACCATACTTGATAATGAATAATCCGCCCGTCATGACGTTTTTCGGACCCTGACGTGTTTAAGGTAAGGTTTGTCACCCTGGACTGTCCTAGTCTAATTGTAGCGAACAACTCGGGTATGAGGTGCCACCCCCATATAGATATATACAAAAACTCCCGCTCTCCCTCCAAGAGACTATGGTTATAACTACAGGCTATGGTTGTACACTCGATAGGTGCCAAACGAAGTGTCTCACATGATCCTTAACTAAATTTACGCAAATATGAAATTGCACAGTGTATATTGTTTTAGTGTAAGTATTTAGTTTTCAAAGCCCAACGATTATGTATGTGAATGTGTGAGGTCAACAACCATGTAGATGGACCACAAATGCCCAATAAACATGTAAAAGGACAACTAAGGCCTACTAAACATTTAAAATATATTTCAGCCCAAAAAGCATGTAAATAATTAAGAAACAAGATAGATTTAGAAGTGCATATGTTGTTCACCAAGTCGGATCTCTTCCAATCACGTAGAGGGGACAACATGTGACTAACATAGATATAGGGGTTGAGAGATAGAATGTTTCATATGCTGTGTTCTAGGTCGGATTATTTCAATCATGCAGAGAAGACAACATATGACTAACATACAGAAAGAAATGCATAGACAAGAAGGTGCATAGAAATAGAGTTGCATATGTTGCATTCCAGGTCATATATGTTCCAATCACACATAGGAGGCAACATATGACTGACATATAGAAAGCAAGAAAATAATTTCCTACAGACCTACTTTATCAAAACCCCCCATTCTCCCTATAATTACCGGAATTAAGGACATGGGTCCATACATCGAGGAAACGTTAAGCCACAGTTGTAGATACATATGACTTTTAGTGTATCCTGTAGGTTCCCATGTTTATCTCACTGCTCAATCCACCCAAGTGTCGTATGCTAATTCTAAATGAAACTATCTAAGTCTGTATTGTCTAGTCCTTTCATGGTCAATCAATGTCTAGTCCTTTTGAATCCTTTATGCCTACCAGCACATTGAAGGTAGAGTCTAGACAACTCGGCTTTAGTGCATAACACACATCATAAATTACCCTTTAGCACTATACTTCATATCACTTCCCAATAGTACCTACTAACAAAAAACTATAAGAAAATAAAAGATTTTCTTCAAAACGAACCAGTTTAATATAAACTCATGAGTATTGAGAAGAAAACTCAAACCGTAAATCACTAATTGAATTTGCATCCAGAAGGTCTGAGAACAACACACATAATCTCATAACAGATCCGAAAATTCTTCACATCGTTAAGCACAAAACCCCATGTGTGATCCTTTCCTTTCTCCCCTTCCTGCAGAGGACACATACTCTCAAACAATGTTCTGAATGTTGTACAATTGAGAGATATCCCCTATCATGTGCCAGGAACAGCCACTATCAACAAACTAAAGTCTGATGATATGCCTCCATAGCTGTTCCAGCACAGAGCAAGATCAATTCGTCTTTGGAACCTAATCCATTTTGAAACTAGGTCGAACTTTATCATCTTTGAAAGGTACTCTCTCCCATGAAGTATCCTACTTATCACAAACAGAAGATGAAGAAATGTTAGAATCATTAGATGATTTGGGAGATTAAACCTTTAGTACCCATCTGTAGTTGGGTTTAACCCATTTCTTGTTTGATCGGATGGGTGCCTCGACAATAAAAGAACTTGAAGCCGATCTTCGAGATGAATTTGATCTAACTGATTTTGGTTTCACTATAGCATCTTTTGGATTGGACTTCTTGGCCGACATTCCTTTCTTGACTTTGGGAATTTGATTCTTGGCCTTTTGTGCCTTCCAGTCACCATTGCACGATTGTGAACTTCAAGATCTTCTTTTGGGGTATCTCCCTATTGGCGCGTTCTGCCATCCTTGTGCGTAGTAGGGAATGTATGAGCGATTAGGAAAATTTCTGGCAATGTGTCTAGGTGTTCCACAGTGAAAACACGTATTTTTCTTCACGTAGGAATTGTTTCTGCTTGCCCCTGGTGGCACACCCTTGCCTTGTCTCTGATTGTTCCCACAAGCACACTTGCAACAGGCACTCTATTTCACTTGTTTTGGTGGCTTGTATTTACCAACACCAGGTTGATTAGAAGTGACAAATTAATGCATCAAGTTCGGTAGTCATGTTAGCAAGCTGTTCCTTAAGATATTTATAATTTTCACATTTATTACTATATTCTTCTTGAAGTTTTCAGAAGTCCTTGATTTTAGGGTCTAGTTGTTCTTTTAGAGGTTTTTGGGCCTTACTAAGTGTATATCCTTCATATTTTAGGTCTTCATTTTCTCTTTTTAGTAAATCATTTTGTTCATGAAGAAATTTAATCATAGCTTCACACGATTGAGAACATGAAACTTCATTGACTGGAATGTTTGAAGAACTTATTGTTTATCGAAAATCCCCTTTGACTAAAAACTCAAAAGTCAAACTTAAAAAGTCAAATTTAAAGTCAAACCAAAAAGCTAAATTTGAAATTTTAGAATTTAAACGAGAAAGTCAAAGTTTAGAGTCAAAGGTCAAACTTGGAAGTCAAAGTCAGTTTTTAAGGTCAAAAGTTAAAAATTAAAAACCAAAATTTTTGGTTGAAAATGAAACTTTAAAATTTGCAAAATATAATTTTGGACAAAATTGTTAAAATTGCGAAATTAACGTCGATGCAGCCTTGCTAGATGGACTGGTAAGGGCGTTAGATGAGTTCCCAAGTAACCTGGGTTCGATCCTTGCACCATACAAGAACTTTTGAATAAAAACACGCTATTTAAAGGGAATCTGTGAGTACTACACGTGCGAGGACCGCACACAAGGGCTAGATACCTGTTGGGCCGTGAACCTGGTGGGTCGTGAACTATCTAAGGGCCACAAATGAGTTAGGCTGCAAACAAGTTGGGCCGTAAACGGTTCTTCGGCAGTAAACCCTTCTTCGCAAATTACAAAAAAGAGCATTTTCACCCCTTTTTACTTAAAAACTCGTTTTTATGAAAAAGACAAAGAACAAACCCCGACTATTTTGTCAAAAACTATCCAAAATGCAAAATCCTGCAAAAAAAAGTGAAAAAACACTCCAGATCTTGCAATTTTGATTGATAAAATCCAAGCTCTGATACCAACTGTAAGTCACAAATTTGCTTCTGATGAAAAGAGGCTACTAAACAAGAAAGAGGTTACTGAACGAGAAAGACTGAATCTATGCTAGCTCAAACCAAGGGAGAGACTGTTAAGTCACATTTTGTTGGTTTAAGATAGGAATCTATTTGTATAGGTCTGGTAGGGTTTTGGTCGTATAATATGTGTTTGCGGCCGAGCCGTGTTCACAGCTGTGAACGTATGTACGACCATGAACGAGTGTTTGGCAGTGAATTGTTTGTGGTTGGTTGGTCCCTATAAATAGTGTCAGAATGTGTCAGAGTAATGGTTTATAGTTCATCATGAATTCATATGTGTGTGTTTCAAGTGTACCAAATGTTTACGACTTGAATATAACGTGTGTATTGTGGGAATTTCTTTGCTTCTACTCCTTTGCTTATTGTTAACTGCTTGAATTGTGTGTTTGATCACTGGTTAGATCCTATTCTGAGGATTTACAATGGGCTTGATTCGCGTGAAATAACATTTTTAACCCCACTTTTGTCAAAAAATAACACTTTTGGCCTCAATTTTATGAAAATTAACATTCTCCACCAAATTATGAATAAATTTATCTTTTTGGCCCAAGATTTAATAAATTTACATTTTCAGCCCCTTTTTAACAAAAATTACATTTTTGGCTCAATTTTTTCTAAAAGGCACTTAAGTCCACAAAAGCCTAAAAATTTACAAATTTAGCCTAAAATCATGAAAGCCTAAATGAGGCCTATTTGTGAAAGTTTATACTTTTAGCCCTTACAAAATCATAAATACTATAAGGGTCCATATTATTCAAATAAATCCTTTGAAAACCGTGAATTATGCATACTAACTTCACTTTTTGATTATTTTGTCATTTTTGGC